TAACCTAGATGTGATTCAAAGATTATTCTGTCAACTGGTTCAACAATGGTAAATGATTAATGGTTGATACTTCTGATTATAACTGTGATCATAAGAATACAAAATAAAATATCTCCTGGTCACACTACCCAGCTCACAAAGCTAAAACATAAAATTGAGACTGACATCGGCTCATTTAGAAATGTGAGTTTTTATTCAATTTCTAAATAATCTAAGTTTACACACAAAGAAATTTAAACACTGCAGCCAGGAGAGCATGACCTAGCAAGAAGAAGTGGTGGTGCATTAAACACCAACTAAGTCAGTTTATCAGGTCCATGGTTATCTGTTGAGGTCATACACCCCCAAAGGTTTGCACTGCGAAGCCAATAGGAGTTGCAGGGAGCACAACAGAGCAAGAGTATAGTAACCAAATTTAAACCACCTGTGTTTTTGTTTTTTTTTAATGGGCGGGATTACATCATGTATAATGGGAGGATGGATGAAAGTATGCATAAATAAACAGGTTTGCCAATTCTTTGGCCAGAAAGTCCTCAAGTTTGACTTTAAATGGCTTCTGGAAGCTGTTTCACTGAAATGTCTCTTGCCACATTAGTTTCCACTTCCACCAGTGCTGGCATCTGAATAGTCAAATAGTTCTATTATGAACAATAATATTGAACATTGTGAGAACAATTTGTAAAAATAACTGAATAACCTGAAAAAAAGAGGTAGAATGACAAGTACAATTCCTGGCTTCTATTTACCTGTACACCCCCAAACTGATATCAGAAAAGTGTTGTTGGTGGTGGAAGTTTCCAGCAGCATCTCACCATCCGGCAGTTCATCCAGATAGAGTCTAGCTGTTATGGAAATTTCAGGTACTGTCTGCAGTATGTGTGATCAGGAACCTGTCACACATGTCACAAACACATGTTTGTAATTCTTCTCTTAAAACTTCTACAAGCTACTGTCATCACTTTTGGTGAATGCTGTCATCGCAGAACTCTGAGAACTTCTTTGCTGCCCTCCTGGCAAAGCCCATCTTCCCACGAGCCTTGGTCACAGCAGTGTACTCATGGGCCTTGAGCTTAGTGTAATAATCAGAGAACTTGTTGTAAAGGACGGAGATGGGCATGCCATTGAGAATGATGCCAAAGGAGATACAGGCGAAGGCAAAGATACGTCCAAGGTTGGTCTCTGGGTACATGTCGCCATAGCCCACTGTGGAAATACTCGCCTGAGGGGTGAAGGAGACAATAACTATAAAGATGCAAAGGTAGACACAGAGATTGAATGATCTTAGGTAGGATTTACTGAAACATGTCTTTCTTTTTTGTCCCACCACACAAACACTTACTTGTATACATTGTTATGTTTTATGTAAAACACTGGTTCTAAAATGAAGTGTAAGATCTTCATTTTGTGTACGTTGAATCAGTGGATATGAGTTAAAAGTCATAAATAGGGGTTTCATATCCAGAAACACAGACATTAATAGATGCCAAGAGGCAAAAGTACATTTACTGTTACACCTTGCTTGTCTTAATTGGCAAAGATTCAACAAGTTGCTGGAAACATTCCTCAGAGATTTTGGTCCATATTAACATGATAGCATTAGATTTGTTGGACTTACATCCCTGATGCAACTCTCCTGTTCCACCACTTATTTGCATTAATGAGCAGTTGAGCAAGCGTACTTAACAAAAATTGTTGGTGTAATTGTGTGTCGACTCACAGCAGCCCACCACCATGCGTGTGGCATGGAGGTGAAGTTGGTGTTGTAGCTATCGTGCTCCACTGTGTACACCATGGCTGAAAACATGAAGATTCCCATGCCGATAAAGAGCAGCAAACATCCCACCTGGAGAGATATTTTAGAGCAATTTCAGCATTTAGTTAAACACTTTCTTCATATTTCTCTCAACCTGCAGATAAACCCTGACCTGCTGGTAGCACTGTCTTAGCGTGAAGCCAAAGGCTCTGAGGCCCGTTGAGTGACGAGCCAACTTCAAGATCCTGAAGATTCTCATCAGACGCATGATCCTCAGAACCTGCCCAACCTACAGAGAGGGAAAAAAAACACTACTAAACATGGATAAGACCACCATATTTAAAGTTTAACAACAACAACTCTCCCGTCTTTTCTTTACCTTCCCGACACGTGCTACTGTCTCAATGTCTCCAGAGTGCACGTGGATGTCCTTGTCTTCAAAGCATTCCAAGATCATCTGCAAGTAGTGTGGCAGGATAGCGATCAGATCAACTGTGTTCAGCATGCTGCGTCCAAAACATTTCAGGTCAGGGGTGGAGATCAGGCGCAGCAGGTACTCCAGGGTGAAAAAGGTGATGCATAACGTCTCGACGTACTCGCCGTAGAACCTGCCACTGGGCTCACCTGATGGTGTCTAGAACACAGAATATAAAGATACAGCTTCTGTTCTGAAACAATAAAGGATCAGTCATGGTTTTAGTGTTATAGACACCTTGTACTGCATCTCCTCCACGGTGTTGAGGGTCATGGCGACCAGCGACACCAGCACAAACATGGAGGATGCGACTGCCACAAGCTTGGCTGTGATCGAGGAGAATGGCATCTCCATTAGGTTCCAGATTTTCCTCCGGGTCTGCCCAAAGGCCATGCTGTTAAATAACACCTCATTCTCCTCTGTTTCTACCTGCAGGATGGAAATGCATCAGCAACAGGATACAAACAGCATTTTTTGTTTGTTTTTTTAGAGGGGAGTCAAACTTGATGCTCACTAGAAACAACCAGAAAAATAGGCAGTATAAAAACATCTTATTTTTCCATTGAGGATAAAACTAGACGAATGAAATGTCAAGACAAGTCACCAAACTGAAACACGCTTGAATTAAACTAAAAAACGGGCACAGCAAACTGTAATGGAAACATCTGTATAAATCTGTGCCAAGGAAAAGCTTATTCTCTTCTCCCCATCTGTCAAGACAGCAGAGCAGAGCGCTGATTTATAATGTAGGTCAAACAGACTCAGAGTCAGCCAGCAGATTACTGCCAAATCAGAGTTAAAAAAATAACTGCTGAACCAATGAGGCAGCAGTAGGTGATGAACCCGTGACATTTTATTTTGCAGCACTGTTAAACATATGGAGTCGAACCGGTGGTAAAATAAACAAAGTCACTGATTACAAACTGCCTCCTGTGTCCTGTGGATTATCCACTTCTTACGGAGAAGGGAAAGTTACTGTTTTCTAGGCTGTGAGGGCTGCAAATAAAAATCCATGGCCATGTATATGTGTGTGTGTGTTACATTTGAAGACGGAAATCCCAAAAGGGTCACAAGATAAACATGAGGGATCCTGACATGAGATCTTGCACTTATTTTTCAGACCTTTTATAAAACGCAGCAAATAAAAGATACGTTTCCTATTTGGTCCTCTAACATTTAGCATCCATGAAAAAAGCCCCACCCACCTGTAATTCAAAATATTTATTTATGAGGTCAGCCAATTAGAGGAAAACTGGTTTAAAGAAAAGAGACAGGGAGCTATAAAGGTTGTTTCAGACAGATAGTGAACTGAGCGCCTGCACTACCGTGTGGTATAAGATAAATACTGTGAACTGTGAATCATGCAAAGGTTTTTTAAGTCTGTTCAACTGAGGTGAACTTGAGCACAATAATGTAAATGTTTATTTATTACACACAATTTAAGTAAAAATGCACAAAAAGTGTGACATTACTCACCAGATCGCCCATCTCTGTAATCAGCTGCGTCTGTATTTTCAGCTGCTCGTTCAGCTCGTCCTGCCTCTCTTCAAAGGAGATGCGGCAGCAGCGCTGGCTGTTTTTGATTCTGACCCCCCAGTAGTTTATCTCCTCCAGGAAGTTTCGGGGACACAGCTCGTCTTTAATCCACAACACTCCAGTTCTGACAGAGAGGAAAGAGACAGGAAAACAGCATCCATGATCATTCCAAGATATCACAAAGGAGATTAAAGTGTCCCTGTGTTGACTTATAACCTCACGTGTTTTATGTCACCTGTAGAAATTAAAGATGTTGTGGAAAATTGTTGGGTCGCGGTCAAAGAAGAACTCGTTGCGCTGGACGACGTAGTCATCACAGAGGTCCAGCTTCCTGCTGTGGTCTGTGTATGTGGCCAAGCGACCGATCCGAGTCTTCGGATACCTGGCGGCTAACCTGTAAGGCAGGTGATACACCTGAGAAATAAAAAGAGAATTAGTCTCTTCTCTTTAGCATAGACATTTGAAAAAACATAGAAAATTTTTCATTACAATTACAAAATGCTAATATCACAAAAAATATGCAATGTACAAAACCAGTTTAAAAAAATCTAGTTTTTATTCATTGCTACTGGAAAAAGTCAGAGTGAACTCAGAGGAGACCTCCTGAATCTGTAAGTTTCTATGGGATTGGATCAGAACCACTGATTCCACGGGTTCAGCAGTAACATCTGAGCAAGACGGCTGTGACAGATATGCAGCTCACAGTCTGATGATGATGTATGAGTGCCACCTCTGCTGCTTGTTAATAAGTGTCAGGTTCAGTCCTAACAGTAAAATAAAAATATTAGCAGTTATGCAAAAGTTAAGCGGAGTTACCGTTCCTCCAACATTGATGTTGAGAATGAAGTGTTTGGTTGGAGAATTCAGCAAGCGGGAGGGAGACACTGGTAATCGATCTTCCACCTCCTCGTTTTCATACTCGGCATAAATATCGTAGATGTCTCTGCCAAGGTCCTTCAAAATATAACAAAACACAAAATGAACAGAAAAACTGGAAAATATCAGCTTAGATATGATCGTAGTAAAGTAGTAGATTTGTTTTTGCTCACCACAGTTCCAATTAGGTGAATGGTGTAGAGTAGCACCTGTTGTGTAATTTTTTACCTTATTGGTTGCCGTGACAGATCACTTTCCAAACTTATGAGAAAAATAAGTGGCATGGTGGTTCACTAAATAGCATTTCTGCCTCACATCATAGCAAGAAGGTCCCCAGTTCACCTGGTCATCTACAGTCTTCTGCGTGGAGCTTGCTTTGAGTACTTCAGCAAATTTAAATAGCAGATTCTGAACTGGCCGTGGATTTGAGGAAAACACAGTGCTTAAGGCAGATGGAATACCAAGTCCAATTCCACTTCCTGCTTGGCATCCTTGCCAAAGATTTCACTGAAGAGCTCCACATCTGTATATTTAAGTTCCAGTTTTACTTTAATGTTGCTGTTGATTTGTTGCTTATAGTAGCCTGAACTATTTTTATTCATTACCGTTCTGCTGTGAGACGGCAAGTTCCCCTGTGGCATCAATAAAGTACCCATTTACCTCTCCATATCTATGCATCCATGAATCCTACTTTATCTTATATTTGAGAGTCTTAGCTTGAGTACTAGAATGTGGTTCAATGCTGAAAAAACACAACAGCCGTAAAACCATGGAAGCTGTCTCAGCCTCACTGAACTTGTTGAATCTGAACAAAACACAACCAAAATCCAAAGGTATAGCTCAAATCTGTTTTTTAAAAATAGCTCCATCAAATCAAACAAATCCCAAATGGACCGAGTGACTGACCTGCATGGAGTTCCATGGTTTAATGAAGGCGCTGATCAAGTCCAGGTGTTCCACCGTTTCTTTGACCTCTTGAGTCCGGCTGCCGGGCTTGTAGCTGGAGAATAAACTCCTGCTTCGAGCTCTGAGGTGGTTAAACATGATCGCTGCTTTAAGTGTTAAATGTAAACTGCGTCGCATTCACAGACACATTCAGTAATAAAGAAATCATACTGTCCACACACATGCACGCAGCTGACAGAGAGATATCACACGCAGAGTGATGAGGGAAGTGATTCTCCTTGCCTAATGCTGCTGACTGAGATGATCCGGGTGCTTAAAGTTTTAAATACTATTATCCTCTTCTGTCCATCTCCTGATCTCTCAAGCTCTCCCTCTCCTCCCACTTTCACATAAGTTTACAAATCTGGTAAATTAGGGTCATAAATGTGATCATTTTAATACTATTCTAAGATGTCAGTCCACTGCTTTGTACAAGACAGTATTTCGTTAGCTTCATAGCATAAGTGCCTAAGTCATTTTTTGGTCAAATTGCATGTGATATGTAAAAATATGCATGTGATATTTAGAAAATTAGTTTTTTCTTGTTTTCCGAAAACACAAAAAAATGACTTAGGCACTTATGCTATGAAGCTAACGATTTGAAAACTTATTTACAACAGCATCTGAAACGTAATGATACAGAGCAGCTATAAAATGCAGTTCTGACATTCATTGCCAACAGATAGCATAAGAAAAAAGTAGAGTAGCAATTTCTTTGTAGGTGACTGTAGGTGTCAAAATCTCTGTACCCTACAGAACACATGCAGATCTAAAGTTCTGTCATTGTTATACTTCACTACACATGGACATTGATCTGGTCCGTAAAGTAGCTGAGGGGATTGTTGATCAGTTTCATCTGCTTTGGTGTACATTTTAGTACAATGACACTACTGTTAGCGATACCTGGACCTTACAGTGTTTCCAGAGGGAGCCCATTTCCTCCAGGCTGGCACATCAATACATGCCATTGCCAGAAGGTTTGCTGTTTCCTCCAGCACAGTCTCATAACCATGGAGGAGATTCCAGGTAATAGGCAGTTACTGTAGCAGAGCTGGGCAGGCCTGTAGAAGGTACTTTAGCAGGACCAGTATCTGCTCCTTTGTGCAAGGAGCACAGTTGCATAATGACCTCCAGCAGGCCACTGGTGTGAACATCTGACCAAGCAATCAGAAGACTGCTTCCAGAGGTTGATCTGAGGGCCCAACATCCTTTAGTAAGCTCTGTGCTCACTACACCGTGGAGTCCGACTTAGATTTGCCATAGAAGACCAGAACTGTTAGATCTGCCACTAGTGGGACGATGTAGGAAAACCACTGACTGGCCCCAAACTCCCCTGTGTTAAATCCAATAGAACATCTCAGGGACATTATGTTTCAGTCTAAATCTGGGAGATGATCCCCTTAGACTTCATTCACTGTGTCATTAGGAGATTTCTCCAACATTGACAGACACACATACAAGCACGTGGTGGGACAAACAGAGTACCAATGCTGCTAGGCTGCACCTCCGTTCATCCCTGGTCCCGACCTGGGATTTCCCCCCCCCCCACTCAGATCTGATTTTTTGTGTTCTTACAGTCTTTCTTAAAATGTTCCTTTAAGGGTTTTTTGAATAGCGTAGTTTATGAAAGAAACTTGTGAGCTAGTAACTCGGCACATCGCCTTGTCCAAATATGGTAATTTCTGGCTCATCAAAAATTGTCAATATCAATGATTTGACATAATGTTGCAGCATCTTTGTCCATCTTTTATGCAGTACATGGTTTGAAGCCTCACTTCACTGAAAAATGTATTTTGAGGCTTGGAGGGGAACCGAGCCGGTTGAGTCGCTCCTTTGAATCAACTGACATGAATCGGGCATCTGATCATTTGAGGGTTTCCAGCTTGCAAGAGATCCAGAAGACACTCAAGGATCCTCCACAGTATGGAAAAACTAAATTAACCCTCCTGTTATGTTGGTTTCCAGGAACACCAATTATGCTCCTGGGTTAATTTGACCCAGGGCAAATTTACTCATCCAAAAGTGTCAGAAACACTGGCATTGATGACTTTGTGATTTTCTTTTATAAGTTTGATTTTTTTGTTGTTTTCTGTAGTGATGCAGATGACATGTGACATCTCTCCTGTTCCGCAACATAACAGCAGGGTTAACCTGCTGTCACCTTGAGCCAACTGTGGATGAACAGATGGATTTTATGTAGTAAATATTAGTTTGCTTTCTTAAAAAAAAAAAAAAAAAAAAAAAAGGCAAGGCATCTACTGTTCCCAGCAGTCAATTAAAAGACATTTTTGGTTTTAAGACAAAGTTTGGATATTTCAGTTGATACGATCTTGTTGTTGTTGTTCAGAGCGCTCCTTAAATGCATCACAACAAACCTCGATTTTCAAATATCTGATGTAGCCTTCCTTCAGATGCAACAGACTTTCGCATTTTAAATCTGTGCCTTAATCCAAGTGTGTGCGTTTGATGCAGTTGCTGCAATTATAACTCAAGTAGTTAGGTGGAGATTAATCCTTCCTGCAGTTAAACAGGGATAATAAAAAGATGGAGGCAAACTCAGTTTCTCGACCCACTTCCCTTTACATACACGCATCCTCATGCTTGCCCCTGATCTGACTGAGGGTAGATTAAACTGTGCTGAAGCAGAGGAGGAGAGTTTAAGTCATTACATACAGAGTCAGTCCTGCTTGTGCAGGGGAAGTCCTTAGACTTAGATGAAAGTTGTTCTGTTACTTGTTCCACTCGGTCTATGGGGAGGTGCGCACGCACATGCATTAACATTTTTAGTTCTCTTGCACCCAAATTTACCTTTATAATTTGCTTTGAGCATGAGAACTACATATTTTTGGAGTTATGCTTTCAGTAAATACACTGCAACTTTAAACCCCCCCCCAAAAAAAAAACAACAAAAAACCCCCAACCCAAAATGCACTAAATCTCTGGCATATCCATCTGGCCAGTTTAGTCAGGGTTGGTTAATCAGCTGGTTTTGTTTTAATGAAGGTGCACTACAAGGGCAACGATGAGACAACCCCCAAAACAGGAATAGCTTTACAGGTGGAGGCCAATCACATATTTCCCCCCTCATCTGTGTGTGTAGGTTTGTGTTTTTTGTTCCCCCCTCGAGGGAGTTTTGCATTTGCTCAGGTCAGTGTCACAACTGGAAGCATGAGGCTTTACATGGACCCTAAAGAGGTTGTGCACATCAGTGTGTGCCATTGTCAGGTTTGCTCTCCCACCCCTTACAGATTTAAGGGCACGGAGAAAATTCCAAGAGAGCTGGGCAGAAGCAATGTTTCTGCTCCTTTGTGCATGGAGGAACAGGATGAGCACAGCAAAATGACCTTCAGCTGGGCACTGCAGAGAATGTCTGAACAAACAAACTGACTTCATGAGGGTCGCCTGAGGGCCCAAAATCCTCTAATGGGCCTACTGTTCACTGCCTGGGATTTGCCATAACAGAATTGGCACACTCGTGGCAAACCAGCTCTCATGTGAATGACGTCTGGAGAGACCATGGAAACATTGCTTTGCACCACCTGTTTTGGTAGGTCTGTGATTGTCTGGAATACCCATGCAGGGACGTACAGATCTTTACAACACCACAACTGCAATCAAGTATTGGGATGAAATCCTTTGACCCCATCATCGACCCAATGCTGATGCAGTGGGTCCTAAGCTCCAGGTTCCTGCTGGTGCACAACATTGCCCAGCATCATGCAGATATAGTATGGCTGTAATGGTTAACCAATGACTGTTTTCTACAGTCATTGGTTAACAGACAAAGTTACAACTACTGTTGTTATATCAGTCATGTACAAGTGGAATTTTAGCATTTGTCAAATCAGCAAACGTAATGTTGTACTTGCTTTGTAGAATAATCAGCTCTGCTGAGTGAAATTCTGGTATTTTGCCTGCAACCTACCACCTATAGTTTTCTTGATAACCAAGATTTGACAAAAGAAAAGATTTGTACAGCTCAGGAACAGGCTTTAAAAAGGTCCACAAATCAGTGGGTGAGGTCAGAGGCCATGTATCACAAAACATTTATGCATGACAAAAAACAAAGAACAAGATTTTCTGAGCAAAGTTGTGGATTAAATTTTAATTCCGAAGTGATTCGCAGATCAGTTTCTTCACAGATACGGAGTCTTCCCATTTTATTGGTGTCCCCCCTTCTTTGTACAAGGCTAGAAAAAGTTCACAGCAACAGCACAAACATACAAAATAGTTTTACCAAATTCATTGCGTTTTGTTTTTTCCTTCTTAAATACATCTGAGCCGCTGGTATGACGCCCAACCATAGCAAAAAACTGATTCAGTCAAATGTATACAATCTTATTTACACAAGGAGCATTTGATCAAAGTGCATTGAAGAGTCCTGATTGACGATCATGTCCAAAGGATGGGCAAATATGTACAGTGTTTACAAAAGCTGTAACCATGGTTATTTCACAAGCATAATAATAATAATAATAATAATAATAATAATAATAATAATAATAATAATAATAATAATAATAATAATAATCCTGTAAGAATGCATTCTAAGAGGTGGTGATGGCAAGAAAACACTTAAATTAATGAAAGAAAACTTAGTTTTGAGATATTACTGCCCAAACATGATCGTACATAAATATTCACATCTGAGGAAGCAACAAAATCTGGACCGCATCCTCTCCTCATTAAAGCCTTACTTCTAAAGGACCCTTGACCCCTCGTGTTTTGTGCAGTCTTCAAACATTCACCGTGTCAGATTCTGGGAGCCCAGATGAGGAGATCAAACTGACAATTCATCCTTTCAACTGTTGCGACACGATGCCAGCAAGCTTCTTAAAGAGGGCGGGACAAAGAAATGACTGGAAAATGTCTGTGGCCCAAAAATAACGGAAAAAATAAAAGAAATCCTTACAACTTTGGATGTGGAATGAAACCAGTCGGGACAGAATTCATTGCAATATTTACATAATAAATAACATTTCCTCTTCACCACACACAGTGGTCTAATGTACTTCAGAAGGCATGTGGTCGTACTATAAGGTCTGCTGCTGCTGCTACGGT